GCCCCGGAAGTGGCGTGGCCCCGCCCCCGCGCCGCGCAGCCCCGCCTCCCGGGCCGCTGCTCCGCGTCCTTCCTCAGCAGCCAATCAGTGATGACTGCGGTTTCTGGTGTTTCATTAATGCCCTGGGTGCCTTCCTTTCTTTTCTGGTTGATGCTTCCCAACACTGCTTGCAAGGCTCATTTTGTATATGTTGCAATTATTTTTTTAAATGAAGCTTGCTTTTCATGTATGTTCATTGTAGCAAATTTTGATGTCACAAAAGTCTTTAAAAAGACCTTTATGTCACTCAGAGTCCCTCCACCTGCAAAGAACGAATAGTACTATTTCTGTGGTTCCATCCAGTCGTTTTTCTATGATGTATTCTATTACAAAATGTTAATTTTTCTACCCTTCGAACTATTTTGTAACCTTAATAACACACTGAATTTTGAGCATTTTCCCATTAAAGATGCGTGATTTTCAATTTTGAATTGCCTAGTGTTCCGCTGAAATCATGTGCCGCAATTTATTTGACCATACTCCTTTTGATAGATCTTTACTTGATTTTCCATGGGGAAGTTTTATAAACGACGCTTATTTATAAATCTCAGCCCCCTTCTCTGCCAGGTTCTCCAGGGTGAATGCCAAGGAGAGGAACTACTGGGCCAAAGGGTATGAGCTGTTTGACTTAGGATCTGGATGGCTCTCCTGCTTGACCTTGCTCAGCTGCTTCTGAAAGGTCAATTCCAGGCTGGGACATGGCTGGAGAGAGAAGACACCCACTAAGCCAGTCTTTGGAGGACACAGTGTTCAAGGAGGCTGAACCTCTGGCAGCCACTTGTACTCCTCAGGCAGGTCTCTGACAAAGTCAAGTTCATTCGTGCCTCATATCATTGGTGCAGCCCCAAACTGCTGGGCTGGGGAGGAAATGTAAAAGGGACAGGAGGGTGGAGTACACACAGAGAGAAAGAAAGTGCAAGACAGCCTTTTACCCAAAAATGAGCCTAAAAATCAAAACTCTGCAGCCCATGAAAACATCTAATGCTGAGAATAATGGCCAACAAAATCAATAATCGTAATATGAATTAACTCCAGATGAAATTAAAAGAATAGAACAATCTGGAAAAAAAAAGACTTTAAGCATATTTAGGATCCTCAATGAGAACAGTGGGGGCCGGCCCTGTGGCCTAGTGGTTAAGTTTGGTGCACTCCGCTTTGGCGGCCCAGGTTCAGTTCCCGGGCATGGACCTACACCACTCATCAGCAGCCATGCTGTGGGCATGACCCAGATACAAAATAGAGGAAAACAGGCAAAAGATGTCAGCTTAGGGCAAATCTTCATCAGAAAAAAAAAAATGAGAACAATGAAGGGATGACACTTGTGAAAAGAACAGACATTGCTGGTGGGGGAAAGGAGGCAGAAATGTTACAAGATGAGGTGGCTGTGGAAAATTACCTTTTAAAAGGAAATATAGTCAACTTCCATTTCCAGGAAGATGGGGTAGGGTCTTCCTCATTCTTTCAACAAAGCACAACTGAAAACAACTCAAAATAAATGACTCCACAAGGTGGAGAGAAAAAGGCAGACTGGCTGGGTGGCTCAGGACCCAAGGAATGATAGAGTGTTGAGTTCCCTGGGCATTCTTTTGCATCATATATCTCAGACTTAGAGTTGAAGAAGCTGGCAACCTGGAGATGCCATTGAGTGCAGACCAGAAACCTGCCTCCAAAAACCTGCTCTCTCAAGCCAAAGAACCGGAAAAGGGACAACCTAAGACAGAAAACTTTTAGACAATAACCGCTGTACTCTAACCAAACACTGCAGAAAAATTAACGGTCCCACCACCACTCATGCCAGCAAAGGCTGAGTGGGGAGCCTAGACTCCCGACCTTGCCAAGTTAAAGTGAGGTGCCCCACCCCACTCCCCAGCTGGAGTGGTATCAGAGAAGGCCAGAAACTTCCCAAATTTGATGAAATGCATTAAGCTGAACATCCAAGAAGCTCAACAAACTCCAAGTAGGATAAACTCAAACACCTAGACACATCATAGAGGAACTCTTGCAAGTCACAGACAAAGAGAGAATCTTGAAAGCAGCAAGAGAGAAGCAAGTGGTCATGTATAAGGTGTTGTCAATAAAATTAACAGCTGGTTTCTCACAGTATAAATGTATTTTTGTTTGAAACTTTTTTCTCCTGTCTTATTTAGAAGACAACTGCATAAAGCAACACTTATAAATCTATGTTGATGAGGGTACAAAAATGTAATTTGCATGACAATAATAGCATAAAAGAGGTAGGGAGGAGATGGAGCTCTTTAGGAGGAAAGTTCTCTAAACTATTGAAATTAAGTTGGTATTAATCCAAACTAGATTTTTATAAGTTAAGATGTTAATTGTAATCATCAGGGCAACCATTAAGAATATAAGTCAAAAAATATGGAAAAGAAACAAGAGAATTAAAATGATACACTAGAAAATATCTATTTCATGTAAAAAAAGGCAATAATGGAGGAATAGAGAAACAAAAGAATAGAACGTATAGAAAACAAATGACATAATGGCAATGTAAATCCTACCTTATCAGTAACATATTAAATGTAAGTGGATTAAACACTTCATTTAAAAGGCTGAGATTGGCAAAATGGATTTTTAAAAATAACCCAACTCAATACTGTCTGCAAGAGACACACTTTATATTCAAAGAAACAAATGAGTTGAAAATAAGTGAGTGGGAAATGATATACTATTCAAACTAACCAAAAGAGAACTGGAATGGCTATACTAATAACAGACAAAACAAAATTTAAGACAAAAATTGTTACTAGAGAAAAAGAAAGACAGTTTTTAATGATAAAAGGACCAATCCATCAAGATAACTTAACAATTATAAACATATATACACCTAACAACAGAGCTCCAAATACATGAAGCAAAACCAGACAGAAACAAAGGGAGAAATAGATAATTCAATGATGATAGTGAAAGTCTTCAATATACTTTCAGTAATGGACAGAACTGTACATGAGACCGGCAAGGAAAGAGAAGATTTGAACACACCATAAACCACAGATATCTGTAAAACACTCTGTTCAATGACAGCAGAACACATATTCTCAAGTATGTTCTCCATGACAGACCACATGTTAGGTCATATAACAAGTCTCAACAAATTTGAAAGGACTGAGATTATACAAGGTATAGTTGTATAATTGTGAATGATGTGATTTAGAATCAATGATGTGAAATTAGAAATCAAGAACAGAAGGGAATTCACAAATATGTGGAAATAACACAGTCTTAACAACTCTTAAATAACCACTGGATCAAAGAAGAAATCATGGGAAAAATTAGAAAATATTTTGAGACTAATGAAAATGAAACATAATACACCAAAATGTATGGAATGTAGCAAAAGCAGTACTTAGAGGGAAGTTTAAAGCTGTAAGAGGCTGTTATAAAAAAAGAAGAAAGATATCAAATCAATAACCACCCTTTCCACCTTAAGAAACTAGAAAAAAAAAGAGCAAATTGAACCCAAAGCAAGCAGAAGTAAGGAAATAATAAAGATTAAAACAGAGACACAAAATAAGGAAAAAGAAAAGCAATAGATAAAATAAACAAAACCAGAAGTTGATTCTTTGAAAAGATTGACTAAGTTGACAAACCTTTAGCTAGGCTAACCAAGAAAAACAAGAGAGAAGACTCAAATTCTAAAATAAGGAATGAAAGAGGGGACATTACTAGTGACTTTACAGAAATAAAAAGAATTATAACGGAATACTACAGACAGTTGTATGCCAACAAATTAGATAATCTAGATGAAATGGATAAATTCCTAGAAAGACACAAGCTACCAAAACAAACTCAGGAAGAAATAGAAAATCTTAATAGACCTAACAAGCAAAGAGAGTGAATTAGTAATCAAAAACTTCCCACAAAGAAAAACCCAGGACTAGATAGCTTCACTGGTGAATTCTACTAAACATTTAAAGAAGAATTAATGCCAATCCTTTTCAAATGCCTCCAAAAAGTGGAAGAAAAAAGAACATTTCTCAACTCATTCCTGAGGCCAGTATTACTCTAATACCAAAACGAGACAAAAACATTACAAGAAAAGAAAACAGACCAGTAAACCTTATGAACGTAGACTCAAAAATCCTCAACAAAATACTAGAAAACCAAATCCAGCAACATTTTAAAAAGATTTTACACCATGATGAAGTGGGATTTATCCCAGAAATGCAAGATTGGTTCAACATACAAAAATC